GGCTGTCTTTCCCAAGTGTTGCAAAGCCATACCTCCCTACATAAGCTTGACAGCCTCAACAACTTTAGTGTATGTGTAAGCCATACAACTGTTGTGGTTGGGGTTGTAGGCTAGCAAATGGAGAGTTAGCTGATCTTTGAAGGCACCTGTGATACTGTCAAGGAACACTTTGTTCTGATCTTCTTCTGTGATTTCTTTCTTTGAGACTAGGAAGCTTGCTATCTTCTGGAATTCATGCTAGTACTCTACAAACTCCTCTCAGTTCTGGATTCTAGTAACAGCCCATTGTTGGACCAGGATATAGAGGTCATTCTTTGTATAGTAGCAATTATGGTCAAGAGACAGGTATAATCCAAGAATTGCTGCTTGAGCAGCTTGCCAATCTGAGGCACTGTCTGCAGCTTCAGGTATTGAGGCTCAGATCTTAGAATCAGATTGGTTAGTGTAATATTTTACTCTCCAGATAAGCTGTTGATTAGAAAGTTGGAACTCATCTCCAATCATTTCTACTTCTTCAAGGAACCAAGGCAGGTCCTACACATTGGTTCTGTCATAACAGGGAGTATTACAGCTTGTTTGGTGTAGGGGCAGGCTAGTCTGTCCTTGGATTGTAACTAGCAGGGCATTTAGAATGTTGGTTGTGGCTGGCTGACCACTTAGAGTACTAGCTGTGGCAGGCAAGCTGCTCAGATTATTCTGTGAGCTCATCTATTGAGACTGGGAACTTATTAGATTGTTCTGTGTACTCAGAACTGTTAGAACAATCAGAATTAGTGGAAACACTAGAGTGATTGTGTGGTCCTCTTCTTGAACAGACAGAACAGGAGATGCAGAACAAGTAGAGTTGTGTGTAGAGGTTGATAGAAACAAACTAGGGAACAAACTATGAAACGTGGATGGTGAAGCTGAGCTGGATTGCTCAAGAGGTTGTACAGAAACCCCTTTGGAAACAGGACTGGGCATGTAGAATATAGGTTGTGAGAGGTTGTAGTTGACCAAATCTAATTCAGGTCTGGAATCTGATTCTTCTGTGATTGAGTTGGTGTACTCTCAGTAGCACTGCCACCTGTTGGCTGCTCAGCCTACTTGAGACACCTTGAGAAACCCCCCTTACAGTAGGCTCCAAAATGTCTATCTCAAGTACTGGTTGAGGTAGAAGAGGTCAGTTGAGTCTACAAGGTACAGACACTGAGAGGGGTCAAGAGTGAGAAGGAATAGGTAGATCCAAGCAGAATGTACAAGTTCTGAAGGTGACAATTAACAAGACAAGAGTAGTGTAGAACAACAAAGCTGTGCTTCAGAACAAGGCAATATGAGACAAGACAAGGCAAGATGGAACATTAACTGAGGAGACTGTCAAACTACACACTAAGAGTCACAGTAGAGAGTAACTTGATTGCTGGAAAGTATGAATTACATGAGAGTATTTATAGAAATTATGAGTCCTTTGTAGCTACTAGTCCTTTGTGAACAAATCCACTACTGTCTCCTTTGTATCAACCCATCCAGGACTCTGAATCCAAGCCCCCTTTGTATTGATTGACTAGCTGTCTGAAGGCTCAGAGTCTTACCTTTGTGAATTGGAACTGGAGTCCAGAACCTAACTAGTCTGAGTTGAGTGACCAAGACTATTGTGTAGGCAATGATAATGTAATTGAAGGATTGCTGACATGAGGATGATGTGACTTTGATGCAACTGAGCCCTTCTGATTGGAATGTATTGGAACATATGTGTTGTGTGAGCATGACAATAGCCTGAAAGGAATCCAGTGTAAGACTAGGAGGCAAACTGTAGAATTGTATAGTATAACTCAGAACCTGCATTCTATCATCCCTCTAATCATGTGTAGTGAAGCTAGAACAGTCTGTAACCTCTACTCACAGATGACTAAGGAGCTGAATGACTTAGAGTTACAGCTGATGACAATGAAGAATGAGTTTGATACAAAGATCATGACTCTAAGACAGAGTATCAACTTCTTAGCTATAGTAGCAGAAGCCTCTGTAGATAGTAGGGTAGAAGAGTTAGAGTAGGAAATAGAACAGGGTAGAAAGTAGAGAAATAAAAGTCCAGTTTTGTTTTTATGAAAAAAAACTGGAAACATAAGGAATAAACAGAATAGAACAGAAATGGATAGAATAGATAGGAAAATAGATAAAATAGAGAGTTAAGAGGAATGGAATGGATGGATGGATATTTTTATGATTTATGTATAGAACTAGTAGAATAGGATGGGAATAGGTGGAAAAGAATTATAATTTGTATAAAGGTTTATATACTTATAGAATGTTGTATAGGCTTTTTGCAATTTATTATAAATGAGAAGGAATGTAACAGAAGATTGGAAGTATGTGAATATAAAACATAACAAAGCATAGGGAACTGTGGTTGAACACAGTATTTACAGATTTACACAACTGTTAAGTGTTGTTGGTAGGGAATTGACCCTTATGTTTTAGTTTCCTGTACAAGACTAGGAGAGTATATTGAAAAATTGTACATTCTTGGATCAGGAGTCTGTGACTTCTCTACTTGGTTCTACTTCAAGCATAGCATCTAAAGCACAGTTGTCTAGATCATCTGTATCCTTACAACTAGTCCTGTACAGCTCTGTGTCTTCCAGCATTAGTTCTGCCACATTGATGAGATGTGAGATAGAAACTGTTAAACATGAATGCAGAAAATACAGAATTAAGCAAAATGCTACAATATGTAACTTGGCCACTACTCTATCCAGTTCTGCTACAACATAAGTGTTTCCTTTTGTTCTTTGTACTACTACAAACAGTCCAAGGTATTACAGTTTCATCTTTCATCCTAAGTCATTACTCACTTTCAAATTGTGGATTAGCACTAGTGTACCTGGAGCAAAGTTGTAGTCCTTAATCCAATTATGATTGACTTCTGTGAAATGCTTTGTGTATCTTTCACAAGTTTTCTGTACACATTCCATCATTTGTATAAGGTTGTCTGGTCTCTTCTACAATTGTTGTACTTGTATTACTATCAGTTCCTCTGTCATTAGTAGTGATCCTTCAGGTGGAACCAAATACATTGCCTTGTTCAGGTCAAACAGTAATATCAGCTCTACTCTATAAACAAGGTAATAAGGAGAATATCCAGTTGCTTTCTGAATTGTAATCTGCTCTGCCTAGAACACAGAATGTGTGTACTTATACTAATGTCCAATATTGTCTCCTGCTGTCTTTACAATTGCTTCCTGTATGTCCAAGTGTTTCTACTCAATAATTCTGTTTGTGCAGGAGTTATACACAGAAATCCAAATATGATTAATGTGGTACTGTTCTTGCAAATAGTCCAGCACTACAATGTAAGGTGTTCTGTTGTCTGTTACAAGCTCAGGACATGCCCTGTATTAGTATAGAAGTTCCTCAAAGATGAACTGTCCTATTGTCCTTCTGTTCTCTGCACAAAGCATGCAAAACTCTGGATACCCTAATAACAAACAGTGTGTGTACACAATATATCAGAATCTTCCTACTTTCAGCATAACCTTTGTATCTATGTGGATCTTTTGGAAAAGCAGCACAATCTCCAGAATACTTGGTAGAATCAGCACTTGTTGTATCTGCTGAGTCTGACATGTATGACAAGTCCTAATGAAGTACTTAATGTCTTCTACAAGAGATAGTCACTAGAACCAATCCAGTAAACAGGCTTGTACTGTAAAGATTCCCTTGTGTCCTAAGTCTTTGTGTGCTATCCTAACCAACTCCCATCTCCTGTCCTTATCCAGCACAATCTAATGCTTTCCTTCAGGACCTCAACACCAAATCTTGTTGTTCTGTACAAAGAACTGTACAGTGTATTATATAAATGTTGGAAAATCAGTGTCTGCAATTCCACTTGGTTTGTAGAGCAAGCCAAGATACTCTTTCACAGCCTTCAGTCTTGCTTCTTGCCTTTCAGTGGTTGGTGATTGTAGGAATCGTTCTACTGTTGCATCCAAACCCTCAGTCTTGTTACTACAGATACTGTACACAACCCCTATTGGCTCTAGATTGTCACCCTCTGCTTTGTCATCTGCTCCCTCTACCTCCTTGGTTCCCACAACTCTGTGAGACTCTCCTCCAGGTTCCTACTCCTGTAGTCCTTTGTCTGCTTCATCTTCTGCTCTTCTACATTCTGGATTGGGTTGTTCTGGTTTATCTCAATGTATCCAATTCTAGTTCTGTTTCAGAATAACAACTTCTGAGAATAATCTACATTACAGTCTGTCAGAACATGTTGCCTGTAGCATGTCCTTGTTTACTTGAAATGATTTGTCAATAATGTTGTTGTGTGTCTCCCAGCACATTGCATCTGAAACCCAGGACTGTGTTTCTACACACTTGACTAACAAAGCTTTGTGTTCTGTAGACCTGTAAGGTTCCAGCTGATGTCTGTGTTGTGTAGATTCTATTTCTGCTGTATAAAATCTGTATGACTCATCAATCCAGTCTTCATAAGTGTTGTTGTCTGGGGGGTCTTCAGGTACTACTCAGTATTACAATAATCTGTCTGTACACTTAAAGTCTGATGCAGGAATGTGGTAGAACTCGAAATCGAATAGCAAAATACTGGCTATCCAGCAATTGATTGTAGCATTAGACTGTAGGTCAGGCTTATTGATCATTCCCTTTATGTATGAAGTGTCCATTTCCACAATTAATCTCTTGACACCTATGAGATATATGTGCAATGTGTGAAGTGCACAATAAAGTCCAAACAGCTCTATTTTTGCTTACAAATATTGTACTTGTGTTGTGTTCCAGTTAATTAATCCAAATCAATTTATTCTCTGTTTTCAATCCAGGTGCTCCTGACTAATATACCATCCTACTCTAATGATAGATGAATCTACTACCAAGACTACTGGATACTCTGACTTGTAGTCAATTAGTGTTAGTGCAGGGCAATGTAAAACTGCTTTCTTGAGTGTGTTCATAGATTTCTGTGCTTTGTCATTCCAATTGAATATTAAGTTCTTTTGTGTGAGTCAATTGAGTAGTTGTACTAACTTTGTGTAATTCCAAATAAAAACATGAAGCACTCCTACTGTTCTGAGAAATCCCCATACTTCCATAACACTCTTGCAAGGCAGCCAATCCCTAACCTTCTGTATTTGCAATTCTTCAGCCTCTCTCCCCAAATACATTAGCTTATGCCCAACAAATATTGTAGATTTGTTGTAAAGCATTATCTTCTTTCCAGAAAACGTTCCTCCTACAGCTTTCACTCTCTGCAAAATCCAGTTTACATCCATCAGATGCTCATAAACAAACTTCTGTACTCTCTTGTTCTTGGGAAGCATTTCCTCTGTTCTGTCTGCTTTCTCATATCTTGAGCAGGGTCCAATTACCAGAACATTGTCTGTGTATAGGTTTGTAACATCCAGAATCTTGTTGCAAAGAATAAACACTAAGTCATTATACAGAATCTGTACTGAGTTAGTGTAACCCATTAGCAATACTGTCAAGTGAAACGTCCCTAGAGGTGTCTGGAATGTTGTCAGATCTCTAGACTACTCATCCAAACTCCTCTGATCAAATGTGATATGTAAATCGAGTTGTGTATAGTATGTACAACCTCTACAGCTTTCTGCAATTAGTTCCATGTTTGGCAGAACAGCTGTGTCCTTTATTGTAACTGTGTTTAACCTCTGCAAATCAATAATAAATCACAAGGATACTCTGTCTTTCTTTGTGATGCAAAACCATTACAATTGATAGGAGGAATTCAACAGTTCTATTACTCTGTTACACAACTTCTCCTTCAACAACTCAATCACCCTCTTCTCAATTCTGCATACAATTGGAATACTTTTCTCTACCCATAGTACATGCTCTACAGTCAGAATTTGAATAGGATCAAAATACATAGGGTCTAATGTTCCTTGCTCCTCTTCTGTCCATACAAATACTTCTGACTGTAGCATTAATAGGTTCTCTACAAGCTTCCATTCTTCCAGCCATAGGAATCCTGATTACAATTCTCTAATTGCTTGCATCTGTTCTTCTGTAAGTTGGCCAGTAGGCACAAAAGGCTGTAGTATTGTCAGTAATATAAGCATTCCAGCTAGAGGATTAGGGTGCCATTGTCTGACTATGCAGAACTCCTCTAGAAGTACTCTGGGTACAGGGCACACCTTATTTATAACTTTCTTGTAAGCCCACAAAACTGTGTTGAGTTTGTCATCCAGTGTATTAAGAATTACTGACTTCTGTGACTCTACTACCTCTATCATCCATGATTCTGTGACTCATGATCCCTGACTGTAATCCTTTCTTGTATTTACTCTATTTCCTTTGTCTCTTCCTCTGTATAGAATCATTGCCTTACTATTACTCTTCTGCTTGTTTGTTCCTAATCTGCTTGTCATATGTGTATCTCCCTGGAATTACAGTGTTTCCAGTTCCTTAATGCTTCTCAAAAATCTGTCTCTGGCTTGTATCACAGTGCCTACACTCTGGTAGACAGAGACCACCTCCTAGACAGATCATTCAGGTCCTAAAGTGTTATGTGCTGCTCCCTATTTGCAAAATCTTTGGTTTCACATTCTGTAGTCACAAAGAACAGTCTACCTAGCAAGATTCTGAACAGAGCTTTCTGCACAACTTGTACTGTGATATCTATACAAAGTATTCCTATAGAGAGTTGTAACCTCAGAATCTGTCCTACAGTCAATCCCTAACCTGCATCTACTGTTTCAAGTGTAACAGCCATATTACAATCTAACAGAATCTTCAATGCTTCCTATATGTCAGCTCAAACTATGTTCACACTTGAACCCTGGTCCAGTACACAATCTACCTCAATTTTTCCATCTACTAATACCTTAAGTATACAGAGTAGAAGCAAATGGTTAACTTCTGCTAATGTGTTACAATACTACTATAGTACTCTATTGTTTGATCCTACAACAGGCAGTTCTCTACTGTAGAATACAGTGTTTCTATCCATTTAGCACCTTAATGTTACTAATTTGCAAGTCTTCTTCTGAAGCTCCAGAGACAATGTGAGCAACTCCTACTGTGTAATACACACTTCCTGGTCCAAGCTGTGATCTAAAACTCTTCCAGCTATTTCTGGGTCCTCAATTAGTGTAATGTAGTAGTACAGGTACTCCTTCATCCCAGTTGTGTCTTACTGTGTACTTGCTAGTACTGGTCTGATATCTGCAGGTTTTGCTACTTTGTATTCACACCCTTGCTTTCCCTTCCCCTTTGCATCCTTTGCTTTCAATTGTTCTGCAACCTTCTTGTAGGCTTCTCTAAGTATTACTTTAAGCCTTTCAAGCTCTGTAAGGTTCTCCACCTCCTCCTCTTCTTCTTCATCAACCTCTACTATTGTAACTAGTACAGGAGCTCCTAAACTGTGTACTACAACTAGTATAGCCTCTATAAAACTAACAGAGTGCATTTGTAACAACAGAAAGTGGCTATCAACCTTTTCCTTCAAGGTCCACCCTATCCTAGAAATGGTGTTTCTGTTAGCCATAATAATTTTATTGTCTGGGCTCTGTGTACACTTCCTGTTTGTAATGTATTCTAATACTTTTGAGCAACTGTGTATAAAATGTCCAGATTCTCTACAAAACACACAACTTCTGTTTCCTGATCCTCTGCCTGAACCTCCACTGTATCCTCCTCCTCCTGATCTTGGGCCTTACTTTATTGACTCTACTTGTAATTACAGACTCTGAAGCACTTCTACAATGTTTGTCAAATTAACTTCTTCCTGTTTGACCAGAATCATAGGCTGACTCACAAGTGTATCTGATCCACTAACTACTGTGAGTGTAGATCCCTCAAGGATCAACCCTGCTACAACTACAACTTGTGTAATATTGTACACAAGTCTGTCCTCATAGTCTAGATACTTGATTTCTAACTTCTGTATCAGCTTTTCCACAATTGCTCCATGGAACACATACAGAAAAACATGGCAAGATTCCTCTAGTGACAGCTTATTGTTAGTTGTCAAATAGGTTGCTATGAGTGTAAACTCTTAGTAGTATGTTCCCAAATTGTCCCTATTTGTAATTCCTCTCTCTGCCCATTTCTGTACTACAGTATCCAAGTCACTTCTAGCATATTGTGCTCCTGTCTTGAGACTCAGGTAATACACAATTACTCCTGTCTTAAATGTATCCCAAGATGTTTTATCTGTATTATCCTACAAATCCTCCACTTCTACAGGCATGTACTTTATTACAAGTAGAATGATATCCACTCTGACTATGTTGCATTTGTTTGCAAGACTTTCTATGTCTGTGAAATACCTCTGCAATTCTTGGGGCTTGGTTCTGTTAAAGGACAGTGTATCATATACTCTACAACAAGGTGGCTTCAGAATGTTCAATGTGGCCATTAGCTGCACTACTGGTCTTAGTTATGATAGAATTTGCACATTTACTTGTAGTTGCTAAAGTAGTTGTGTGTCACTTGCAAGTTACTG